TCTCTCTTCCTCGATTCCTGTAAAACAGATTGGAGTAAATAGACCACACCCGGGGGGTGTTGGCCAAAGGCCCTCCGATGCCTAAGTTAGTTCGAGTGTTTGTAGGAAAACAATAGCTAAGCAAAGGGTACGGAGTAGTGTTTATGTAGGGTGTGAACCGGGCGGCCGGAGCCGTGTGTGGTGGCCGGAGCCGTTTGGAGAAAATATGGAGAGTGGAGAGGGAGAAAGAGAGAGCTTCGGGTATTTTTCTTGGGTATTAGGAGTAGGTTTAGACGTACCTTGAATGATGAATGAAGTCATCTATTTATAGGAGCCTCGGGGCTAGGGTTTCGTAGAGAATATGCTGAGTTTATTCTCTACCCAAATTCGTAGGGATCGAGTCGGACTGAGATAATATCTGATTTAATGATATTATCTCTTTTTATGGAGATAATATCTGAGATAATGACATTATCTTCTCTTTATTAGGATAATATCTTAATTAATGATATTATCGTATTACATAAAGATAATATCATTTAATTAAGATATTTATCCTAATTAATTAATTGGCCAGATAAACTGGTTCAATTAATTAATTAAAAGAGAAATAATCTTCTTTTCCACGTGGCGTGCTGTGATTGGAGACGAAAATATCTGCTCCCACAAACTCGTCACACCCTTCTTTAAATAAACAAACCCCAAATTCCAAACCCATCTCCCATCTTTGTCTTTGAAAAAAAAAGGAATCTAATAAAATAGCTTATTTTCTCTCTATTTGTATATTTATTTGTGGTGTTGTGGTGGGGGTGGCTAGGGTTTTGGGGTTTCGGAGTGGGTGGTTGTTGTGGTGGGGGGCGTGGTGGAGGGTGAACAAGGTGGATGAGTGAATGGTCGATGGGGTGGCTGCAGAGAATAGATCCCTAGTGGTAGGGTGGGTTGGCAAGGGAGAAAGAGAAAGAGACAATTTTTTGAAAAAAAAAAAAAATTTATTATTATTTGACTTAATTTTTTTGTTTTTAAATACTTAAAAAAAATTGAAAATAGAGAATTAACTATAGTTATAATTAGACATGTGTCAAGTAGAAACGTAGCAGAAAAAATTATGTGAAACAGTAATTTTTACACTTGGCATACCGTGATTCGTGGGATAACAAACAACGATGGGAAACAACGCAGAGAAGAAAACCCAGAACGCTGACATTACAGAGCAAGCAAAGCAAAGTCTTTCAGAGCTCAAAAATATCAATATGGAACCTGAAAGCAAGCCAAGTCTCTCTGAACTCAGCAGCACAGCAGCATTAGGAGATTACGTTCTGATATCAGAGGTTGGGGAAGGCTCCTTCTCCAGAGTGTGGAAAGCCGTGCACAGAGAAAGTGGGGAGGTGGTGGCTCTGAAGCAGGTCTTCCTCTCGCGGCTCAACAGGCACCTCAAAAATTGCTTGGATTGCGAGATCAGATTCTTGTCTTCTGTTTGCCACCCCAACATCGTTCGTCTCCTCAAAGCTTTCCAGGTACTTGATCATCCTCCTTTCCTTCAATTTCTTCGATTAATTTTTATTTTGTGGTTTTTTTAATTTTTAATTTATTTTTTCCATATACCCATTTCATTAGTTTGGTTGAATCAGAGCAATATTGTAGGAAATTTGGAGTTTCTAAATTTCCATATTTTAGTGAAACTAGTTTTTAATGGCTAATCACGCTTCAACTTGTGTCGTCTGTCTTTTGATTTTTCTCTTGGTGATTGATTGATTTTTATGTGACTGGTGATTGGTTTAGTGGTCAATGTTATTTATAGGTTTTTACCTGAAATATTTGAGGGATAATATTAGTAATTGGTTCCTCCATCCACCCGGTAGTAGCCGTGGTGATTTTTGAGTATGAAGGATTTATTATGCTTGCATTGTGAATGCAGAGAAGCCTTTGCCATAGATTAAGTTCTGAGCTGGTTTTTATTTTTGATTGGTTGTTGGATTGAATTTTACCCTTTCCAAATAGGTTTTATTTTTCTCTCGCCTGTGGATGATTGAAGTCTCAAACCTAAGTGCTGCCCGCCCCACTCCACCAGTTTTGCATCTATGCTGGCTCTCCGGCCCTTAATCTCCTTCCACCATTCTGTTTCTTGATCTTCATGTTGTCAGATACCTCTTCATTCTATTTAGTTAAATTATCCTTTACAGCCCAAAGGACCTTTGCTAGAATTATCCCAGGAAATTGGTTATTATCCCAGCAATCTTCATTCTATCTACAGAACCTTCAAAAAGATATATGGCATTGGCGGGGGTGGATAGGTTTCTGTTGACATTCCTAAATACTGGCACACTAATTTGTATTTTACAAGTACAACAAAAATTCTCATCTCAGGAGTACTTTCAGATACACACGTGTTTGGATGAATACAAGGATATCTTTATCTTCAATTCAATTTTTTAGTCAAACTTTTAATGCAGAAAACCTAAGCAAGAAACATGGGTCCGAGTCAGGATTCAACTGTTTAGACTTAAGACTTACTAACCTACTTGATTCTAGGGCTGTTATGCACCATTGTTGTCGTTTTCTACATGATTAGTATAATGCCTCACGTAGATTTGAGTGATCCTCAATACACTCTCTCCGGCCTTCACTGTCACAAATCACTTATTCATCTTTTAAACATGTCAAGGCGTGAGTATTTTATTTAAGAATATTGTTTACCAGTAACTGGCCCAAACCTCTCAAGTTCTGTCGCTAAGCATGTTTCATACAAATGTAAAAGTAGGCATGAGATCATCCTCTAAACACTAAACTACTTTCACAGCAGATTTTGAATGCAGGTTCTTGAGGGATTCCATAATCACAACTCAAGCTTTTAGAACCCCAAATTCTCAACCTTTATCTTTATGAACTTTCATAGAAGTTTGGAAGTGAACATGGGATTGTCTCTAAACATCAAACTACTTTCATGGTATATTTTACGTGCAAGGACTGTAATTGATCTGATTCCTAGTTTTGAGGGTATTGGATTACAGATTTTAACATGGAACCCACATAATTTTTTATTCCTTATGTAGTAAACGTAGGGGAAGTCATGAATTGGAATTATTCCAATACCCATTCCTGATAAGTAAACATGCCATAACGGAATTGTGTACATAGGGATGAAGGGGAATAGAGTGAGATTATATAAATGAAGATATCCAGGCACCAAACCTTTTAACAGTTGGAAACCAGCGTGTTATTTGGCTATTATTTAGCATGTTATTCATGTCTTCAACCCAGAATGAAGGTTGCATATTCCTGGTCCTGGAATTCTGCAATGGGGGAAATTTGGCAACCTATATTCGGCAACATGGGAGAGTTCAAGAACAGATTGCTAGAAAATTTATGCAGCAGCTTGGTAGCTTCTTATTTTCATTTTAATTTGTAATAAGGATTTACACTGCTTCTACAATCTGCATCTAATCAAATTCATGTTGTACAGGGGCTGGTTTGGAAATACTACATTCTCACCACATCATTCATAGAGACTTAAAACCAGAGGTAAAAACAGGATTTTATAGGACAATGGCAACAAAAGTAAATTTTCCTATTTGTAGCCATTATTTTCTTTTGCCGGGGAAGTTATGTATGGGCCCTATGGTTAAATATCCACAGAAGATCAACTTTCAGTTCGCACCTGGGTGTTTGTCTCACAATGCTGGAGAAGCAAGAACCCAAGAGGACATTCTTAATCTGATTTTGATATTCACCATTATGAATCTTATTTGAACTTGATTTTATTGAATTTTAAACTCATATATAAATCTACATTATGGGATCGGATTTTGTGAATTGAATCTATATTGGTTGAACTTTTATCCTTACCTAATTCATTGCCCCCTTACATGTAAATTGCATTAGTAGATTGGAGTGACCCTGTTTTTAAACTTCACCAATGGTTTCCACTCAACAACTAGGATTTGAAAAAACGAAAACCAAAAATTACTTCTAAATATTAACAGATTCTTTTGGGTTTGGAGTCTTCAAATTGGAAACTTCCATGTCTTTTTTTCTTGAAGCATTTTGAAATTTCTAGTCTTAGTGATGTCTTGTCGCATAAAATGCTACTTCAGAATTTTACATGTCAACTAATTGTTGTTCTGACAATGCTGTAATTTTCTGAAGTAGAGTAGAAAAGTGGCAATTTATTTTCTGGTTATGGTACCTGCAAATGCAGTGTTTTACCTATGGTTTGACAACATCATAATTCTCAAATTTTCTGAGTTCTTTTGTTTTGTTGGACTAGAACATTCTACTCTCTCGCAGTGATGATGATGCGGTGGTAAAGGTAGCTGATTTCGGTCTCTCAAGGTAAACTCTAGCATAGAGGGACGTATGTGGAAATTCATCCTGTAACCCTTTTTATTATATATTATTTACTATGATTTAAAGCAATTAAATTTGGAAGTTTCATTTTTTGCCTTTTCTTTTCTACTATGGACAGAAGCTTACATCCAGGTGATTATGTGGAGACAGTTTGTGGATCCCCATTATACATGGCACCTGAAGTTCTTCAGTTTGAAAGATATGATGGAAAGGTATGATCTTGTCCAGAGCTCATGCCATTTTCCCTTTTCAATCAGGACGAACAGAAATGAAGGGTTTGATTTTTATAGGTCGACATGTGGAGTGTTGGTGTAATTCTTTTTGAGCTTCTTAATGGTTGCCCTCCTTTTCCTGGTAGGACTAATGTTCAGGTATCAACATACTACTTTTTGCCATAAAAACTCTTTTAAATATGTTCACTCAAATAGTGATAAATTTTTTACTTTCCAGGTGCTTAAGAACATCAAGTCATCTACATGTCTCCCTTTTGACCAACTCATCCTTTCTCGGTTGCATCCAGACTCTGTTGATATGTGTTCAAAACTGTTGTCTCGAAATCCAGGTCTAGCATTATACCTTCCTCAATTTCATATATTCTTATTGTACCCTTCACCAAAACTAGCTATATATGTTGCTTCTCTGTTAGGACCAGGATTCTCTACCAGGTTGGGATTTTATCTGGTTATACCAGGGTATTAATTGTTCTATTCTTTAAGGAGTTTATGCATCTTCTCCAAGCACTCATTCCTTCACCCCTGCTGATAGTTACTACCTAGAGCTAAGATCAAATCCCATTATCTCTACAAATCAATTCTCTGAATGCATGTAAGGGTGAATAACCTCTAAATATTTACTTCGTAAAAGGAAAACAAAATTATTATAAATAAAAAAACTCAATCTGTCCGACACCCAAATTTCCCACATCAAAACCCTATTTTAATTGTTGAGCCATTCAAATTTTTTTCCTTTGACTCTGAACTGTTAATGTTAAGAAGGGCCGATAGCTTGAAACCAGGAGATACCTGATCTGCCTAAATAACTACATAACGAAAAACCGTCATGGAATCCACTGCATTTAGATTCAAACTAAAGCTTTCCTCATTAGCCATCTAGAAGAACAGTTGCACGTTGAAGATGAGTGAAATTTTAGGGTATACAAGTAATTTCTAAAAGGTTTTCATTGTTTGAAGTTTCATTCGTAAAATTTTATTGAGTCTTACATATCAGGTTCAATACCTTGCTCTTGCATGTTGAGGATAATTGAGTGATTTGAATTTTGATTAAAGAAAATCAATATAGATGAGATTTTTGCATCTGCTCTTCCCAATTTCAGTTTATTGTCTATGTGAGCATAAAGTTAAAGTTTATTCATTCGGTGTCGTAGTTTTCATGGTGTAATGTAACCTAAAAATGTTGGTGAGACATTGGTTTGAGGGTTCTAGC